ATACATTAATAAATTAATCATTTCATAGCGTAGCGTAGCATAGCATAGCATTGATTCAATGAAGAAAAATTTAGTATTAAGGTTTTAAGAAACATTATACTATTAAATTCTTATAGAATTTTAGTATGACGGTAATACGTCTAACTTTTAATCGCTCAGAAACGAGTTCAAATCTCGTAAATCCCAGTAATATTTATAATAATATTTATAATAATGTATTCATAGATAACTTAATCAAATGCAGTAAAATAGATAGGTAAAAGGATAAAGAGAGCTTTAGATTTAACCTAAAAAGAATATAAATTTTTTAATAGAATTAGTTAAATAGTAGGAAGAGGACTTCCCTATGACGGAAGTAGGTGCCGGCTGGATGCCGGCCTAATTTGTTTCCTAATATTATGTTTAATATTTGGGTGTTCGAATCACCTTTCTTCCATGTTTTAGTGTGAAATTGAATTTAATTTAATTTGATAAAGAATCTCTCAATAATAGAAGGTAGGTTTTGTAAGTATTAATCCGTTAATGCTAGGCTCTTTAAGTTATAATTAAGAATGAATAAATATTAATATATTATCTAGTAAATTTTATGTACATAGTTTAACGGTAGAACTGCCCATTTCTGATGAGTCTGCGCGGGTTCGAATCCTGCTGCTCGTACATATTAGATAGAATACTTCGCTTGTCCTATTTTTTTATTCTTAATAAGGGCGAGTGTAAGATTTACAGTAAATATAAAAAAAATTATAAAGTAGTATTAGTTAAGAACGTAGTTTAAATGGTAAAACCCGAAACTTCAACCTTCGTGTTCTTAGTTCATTTCTAGGTGTTTTCTTCTGAATCTGAATTAAACCTATTTAATTAGCATATTAAAATGCTCCTGTTAAAATAGGTTAAAGATCTAAAAAGAAATTTATGAATAGTTTATTTTTAATGAATAAACATTTACTAATGGGTATATCGTAAATATACTAAATACAGTCTTATTTTTAATAAAACTATTTGCTAGTACTCCTTCCTATTTAATTATATTAAATTTAGGTTTTATAGGTTTATCGTATTTAATAGTAAACATAGGGGCAGTTTGAATTTCGTTTTTATTTATTTTAATGTTAACTATTATTCTAGGTATTTCTATTGGTTATTCTTTATTTCAATTATTACTCTATGATATAGCTAATTTAAGTAATTTTAACAGTAATGTTGATAATAATTTATACAGTTTATATCTAAATAAAGAGAATAATTTTAATTATTCAATTAATACTAGTCAAGATAATGAATTATAATTTGTTACTAATAAAATTGATGCCTGAATGGCATCGCAGTTCATTACGTGCCCTGGCACGTGTAGATAGCTAGATAAACAGGAGCCCGCCAAGGCTAGGAAGAGGTCCGAGCTCCATGGGGTAGGCTCGCCTACATTAAGCCTTCCTATAGAGCTACAACCTCTCCATCCTTTCTGCTCCCCAGACCTAATTTCGTGCATCGCCATAGCGTTCTGTGAAGTAGGTGATAGGTCTCCCCATCATAAATATAGGAATACAAAATATTATTCGACAAATAGTAATGCTTAATATAAGTTATTAATATAATATCTATTATATTTTAATTCGAATTGAAGGAAAGGTTTACTTTTAAAAGTATAATTAAACTTAGAGGCTGAAAAAAATAATAAATAAATGAAGCATATAGTTATTTTAAATAAAATTATATTTTTTTTAGCGCTTCTATAAACGAAGGGTACTGATATATTCTATAAGTAAAAAGGGATTATTCATACCTTTTTTTTAAATAATACGTATTACCTATTGAAGCTTGTAAAATTAACAAATATAATTTTTTTTAAAAAAAAAACAAGTAAAATCCGAATCTTAGTCATTATATACTAAATGATATTGGTTACTTGTAAATCAATATAAAATTAAATTATTTTAAGTAAAAAATTAAAATGTATTTTAAATTTTCATTAATTATAATTAAAACAATATTAACATCTAATTTTCCTTAATTTGATTTAACGTATATCATTATTTCAACAAATCATCTCTCAAATCTTGAATTTTATGAAAATCACTATATTAATATGTATAAAGACGGGGAAAAAACTCGGTAATATTTCTAAATTCATCAATATATTAAAATACATAATAAAGTTAATCAAATTTATATAATTATAATATTAAGTACTTTAAAAATGTAATTTTATACATATTAAATGTAAATGTTTATTGTCTAATATTTCCTAACCGGCGAGTTAGAGAATATCTTTAATAGAATTTATAATAAACTTTGTATTAATTTATTATATAAAACGGCAAACCATTATTCGTAATTAAAAACGTTCTAATCTATAGCTTTCAACATTATAAAGCAATAAAAAAAGAAATAATTAATATACTCAATCTTTCATATATAGATAAAACAAATGAAAAAGGAGTAGAGAAGGTTTTTATTAAGTAAAAGCGTAACACTAATCTTAAATATATTTTAGATAATCTATAAATCAATGTTTCAAAATAGTAGCAAATGAAGTAAATTCGTTTCTTAATTCTTTTTAATTTAGTCGTCATTTAATAAAAGAAATTGATAAAAATATATTTCTAAAAGCATATAAGTAACCGCAGAAGGAATGCTTTGTATTATAAGCTATTGTCCTTTTTCTCCTCTCTTCCCTTTTCCTTCGTGTATTATTCTTTTTGAAGTACGAGTTTAGCCTAAATTACATTCAATATGGCGGTAATAGCGGGCATAACTATGAGAACGGATACTACCGCAGTTTTCAGGAATACTGTAAGGTTAGGAGTCATTTTTAATTGTAAAACTATTTAAAATTGAAATATGATTCATTAAATACAAGATTTATTCCAAGCATAATGAAATAATAGTCCCAATATATATAAATTAACATCCTTTTCGTCCTGATCTTTTCAACTGATATTTAAAAAATACTAATTTTTAAATACTGTTTAAGAAATATAAGGGTAGGATTATGATTGTAACTAATATTTTAATAAGAAAAGTAAGTACCCGCATTTTGAAAGGTAAGAAATGTAGTAATAAGAACGGAGTTTAATAATAAATGTAATTACATAGTGGAAATTTTTATATTAACGGAAAGGACCCAGACTTAACTTATATATAATAATCCTACATTAAATTAACTTTGTAAACTTCCTAAGGAAGAATGATATATTTTGCCGACTCTAAACGGACTTTAAAAAGGTTAATAGATATTTATAAAATAGCGAATAATATTCTTTTAAATATTGATACTATAATGTAGTATTATACATAGCTACTAGGATATAACAAAGGTTTTTAATAATGAGTAAATACTATACTAGATATAGATTATAAAACAGGGTTAATTATATATATATATATATATAACTAATAAAAGATTTATAGAAATATAAAATAATATAGAAAAGAATTAGTTTAAAACGTTACGTATTTTAAAAGTAGTTACATCCCTCACTATAAAAAGAAACTCAAAGTATATTAAGGTTAATATGAGATTTAATAAATTTTTTCATTTCTTAATTGTTGAAGAATAACAAATATTCATAGTTTTATTAATTTTTTCGAGGATAGTATATATAATTTAAATAATAAAAACTTCTATTGTTAGTAAAAAAATAAACTTAATATAATAGTTCAAAATAATTATAAAAGCTTTTAAATTTCTAGTAAATAGCTACGCTTTTGAAATTACTACCGTTATTGTCTTCTATATTTATAAAACAGAAACGATCGGTAAACCTTCAGCTGTATATATCTTTTATAAATACAAAAAGAGCGTAAGTTAAAATAATAAAAATAATACTAACTGACATCCGACGTAAAATTAAAATAAACACTATGCTATGACCCGGGTATCTCGAGGACCCGGCCCGGGTCCTCGAAGATTAAGCAGTGAGGCTGAGCCTCCCTTATGGAGCTCGGCAAGTAAGCAATACACATTCATCTGATTCATTACTTGTGAAGGCATTCCACATCGTGTGTATTAAGACTTCCACCAGCATTGTTCAAGGAGCTTACCCTCCCTACGTGACTCAATCACTCGACTCACGGCGTACCGCCTTGCAGTTCAGACACTCTGTGTGTGGATTGTAATATAATTCTGTATAAAATGAGCTTATTATTTATAATTACCTTTTATTTTTATAATATTCATTTCAGTGTTTAATTTAAATAATATCTATATTTATATACTGTGAACTATTACAATCCACACACAGAGTGTCTGAGCTGCAAGGCGGTATGCCGTGGGTTGAGTGGGTGCGTCACGTAGGGAAGGTAAGCTCCTTGAACAATGCTGGTGGAAGTCTTAATACACACGATGTGGAATGCCTTCACAAGTAATGAAGCAGATGAATGTGTATTGCTTACTTGCCGAGTCTCATAAGGAGAGCTCAGCCTATTGTATATATAGACTATAGGTGCTCCGTGTGCTCCGTGTGCTCCGTGTTCAAAAGACGGAGCAGACGGAGCACCGCCTGCAATGGTCTGATTGGCTAGTTTGCGTGGAGCAATAGGATTGGTTGGCCCGTTCCGGCGGCCCACCTTAGTGCAGATTGAAACCGTGACATAAACTTATTTTTCTACAATTTATATCTTTGTTTACTAACATAATATATTTATATAAAATATTTATATAAAATACTTATAAGTAATAAAGTTAAAATCATTAACTATGAGACAATATATAGTTAATTTTAATAAAATAAAAATATATAATTTCGTACTATTTAATTTAAAAAATTTATCCTTTTATATTATAAACACTAAATACTGTTGTCACGATTTCTCATGCAGCTAAGGAGCGGGGCATCTGCACCTCCCTAACCAATCACAGAAGACCCGGGCAGTTGGGCAAAAGCCATCGGGTCCACAAGGAGCTTGAACCAATTAGCTCGAACCCGGTCATCTTGAGGACCCGGGCCGGGTCCTCGATGTGGTCGGGTCCATGAGAACTACGGTCTATATAAGCAGATAGGTCGAGTTCTCCTTATGAGACTCGACAAGTAAGCAATACACATTCATCTGCTTCATTGCTTGTGAAGGCAATCTACATTGTGTGTATCAAGACTTCCATCTGCATTGTTCAAGGAGCTTACCTTCCCTACGTGACGCACCCACCCAACCCACGGCGTACCGCCTTGCAGTTCAGACACCCTGTGTGTGGATTGTAATAACTGTTCAAATATTAAATTCCTTTTCTAACAGATATTAAACCATTAATACATTTAAAATGTAAATTTTTGTTTATTTGTTATAACTGTATTACTATCATTGTAACAGTTATTATAAATCGCTTGAAATTTATATTACTTTTAAATGAGCTTAAAAGACTATTAAAAGACTGCTTCCGCCGCTATGTCACGATTCCCATTAGTCATGTGACAGAGTGCGGGGCAACACCCGCCGACAGGTGCCACACCGTCCTATGTGGGGCGACACCTGCAGGCAGTTGTCACGTAGTCTTAGCAGCTGGAAGACATTGCTCCGTGGTGCTCTGTGCTATGAGGACAGAGCACGAGGGAGCACTTAGAGACATCGCTCTGTGGTGCTCTGTGCTGGGGAAACAGAGCATGGGGGAGCACTCAAATAGATAGTTCTATATAAACAGTTAGGCCGAGCTCTCCTTTCGAGAC